CCCCTCTCTAAGCAGTTTACAGAGTCAGCCTGTTGCCCCCAATAATATGGGTCCTCATTTTATTGACCTCGGAAGGATGGAAGGATGAGTCAACCTTGAGCTGGTCAGGATCGAACTCCTGACAGTGAGCAGAGATAGCCTGCAATACCGCATTCTAACCACTGTGCCACCATGGGTCTGTTGGAAGTCTTCCAATATTTGAGGGGCTGCCACAAAGAAGAGGGGGGTCACCCTATTCTTCAAAGCACCTGAAAGCAGGACAAGAAGCAATGGATGGAAACTAATCAAGGAGAGAAGCAACCTGGAACTAACTAATTTCTGACCGTGAGATCAATCAGTGGAACAACCTGCCCCAGAAGTTGTTGGTGCTCCAACACTGGAAGTTTTTAAGAAGCGACTGGACAGCCATTTGTCTGAAATGGTATAGGGTTTCCTGCCTGAGCAGGAGATTGGACTAGAAGGATCTCCAAGGTCCCCTCCAACTCTTATTGTTAACCTACTCAGTGAAAATGGCAGCCAAGACACAGGATCGTTATTCCTAAGATAACCATCAGTTTAAAAAGGGTTTGCAGTTTTAAATTGGAACGATTATCACTGAAGGCTCCTGCTAGCTTTTTGACCGATATTGTCGGTTTCACAGCTTCTAGCCATTAGGCTCAAAGTCAGTATTTTTCCTTGCATGGCTAGTTGAAAACTACTGTAGTTGAAACGAAATTTAAGCTGGACCGCAGCAGCCAATCTCAATCGTTGCTAGTGTAGTGTTACCCCCTCAGGCTCCCGCAAAGCCTTTTGGCCAGCCCCGCTATACACCCCCCACCTAAAAAGTTTCTTTGGTCCCCCAAAGAATAGCAGATTTTCTACTGAGCATCTATATTATCCAGGGGTGAGTCAACCTTCATCTCGCAATGGGCATCACACACTCTATGCTGTGACCCGGAGCATCGTATGTTAATCTCTTCCCCGGATGTATCACCCGCCTTGGCCTCTATACTTTAGGCTCGGCAATATCGCGGCCGCCATCCTCCCGCAGCTCTCCACCCCTGGAGGCACCCGGGACTAACTGCTCCTCCCCTTCTGGCACCGGTTGCATCCCGGAGAAAGTACATAATTTCCTGTATCCAGCCCCTATGCAATAGCCCCCCATCGGTTTGGATGGAAGCCAGACCTCCCCCAGCTTGAGTAAACTCTGCTTCTGTTGTCCCTGTGGGTAAGGAAGCACATTTCTCTTTCTCCTGGCCTAATAGTTTGGTCGAGGGTGCGCCCCACACAATTGGAAGAATCACCCTTGCTCTAATATCTTCTGTCAATTGCGGATTCTCTTCTGTCAATTCCAGATTCTCAACCTGAAAGCACTCCAGAATACTCTTCTTCCATTCCAGCAATGCTAAAAAAATGGGGGGGGGAATCCCGATCCACCCTCGTGTCTATCATGTACACCCTCTGATCCGGAATAAGGACCTCAATATCTGTAAAATTCGCTCTTCTGACCAAACATCACCAGGAACTTCAATTACTACGCTCGTCCTTACTTCATTATTCTGCTCTTCACACCACCTAATAACCGCGATGGGTCCATTTTGTTGACCTGGCTCACATCTCCGTGTGAGACCAACAGCCCCATTACTAAATGCGGAGGGGCCAGGCAGGGAATCCCGGACGAGCCCCCACATGTAGCGTTATCCCCTCAGGGGCCACCAGAACCCAGGCCCTCCTCGCCCCCTCCCTTCTCTTCGACCACGCCCAACAGCCACGCTCTCAAGGCGTTGGTGGAATGTCCCTTTTAGCGGGAGCTCACGCGAAGTGGAGGCTCTTGTCATCAGCAGAGTTTGCAGAAACAACGATGGCTGCCTCTTAGCCGTGGCAGTCAGTGTGCGACAGTGTTTATCAGCCCCCTGGCAGTCAGGGGGGACAGTAATCGATGACTTGCAACAGCCACTTGGAAAGCAAAGAGGGGAGGGGAAACCCTTCGGTTCCAGGCAGCAGCAGGAAGCACTAGTGAAGATAGTCAGCAGCCCACAGCAACAGCTCGCCCCACGAGCGCAACTCTCCACAATGTCTTCAGCTTGCACAAGTGATAACCAAAGTACGGATGGCCACTGGTCTCCTAAGCAGTAGCAACTAGCATCTCCTCTTCTGTCGGCACTCGTCGCCCCAGGCCTCTCTATCCCAAATTCTCTCCTCCCCTTTCCCTTCTAGTTAAAACCTAAGTTTAAAACCCCAGCAAACTTTCCCTCTTCTCACTCTCACTCTTCCCTTCACTCGGAATATCCCCTCTGCAGAAGAAAGCAGTAAAACTCCACTCCACTCGCTCTCTCCCTATCCCTCTATTTCAGAGGAAAGGGAACGCATAAAACCCCAAACTCTTTTGCTCCACCTGGTCTCTCCCCGGCATCAACCACCACCCCACCCCCCTTTCTCCTTCCCCTTTTCTTTCCTTCCCCGCGGTCCACGCCCGCCGCGCCCAAACCGGCCGCAGCTGCTCCAACCTTGCCCTTTCCTCCCTCCAGTCAGGCTCCCGCAAAGCCTTTGGGCCAGTCCCGCTAAACTAGCCAAGTCAAACAAAGTAATAGCCAAAAATGGCAAAAAGGGAACGAGTGTAGCAGTTACGTTCTGGTGCTCTTTTGAGTTTATGACATTCTATAGCTTGGCATCAAGATAAAACATTTGCCACGTTAGTGGCGCCTGGCAAGGAAAGCAGACAAAGAGGGCACTGGATGGCGGTGGAAGGAAATTCCGGATGCTGCGTAGGTTTGCCTAAGAGTATGAGAAGGAAGCTGATCCCCTCCAGAATCAATCTGATAACTCTCCATTTTCTCAGAAACCCTAGTGAACAGTAATAGTCCAGAGGATTCATCGGCCATTGTAGGTTAGTTCCCTCTGTCTGTTGTTGCAGTCCATTACTTGAATAGCCTCATGACTTTCGGATCACCAGAAGCTTCCCGTCCCAGAACTGATCTGCTGCTGCTGAAGTGGAAGGGTGCAGAGGCTCATGAGGTTAAGACGCTGGGCTGACTATTGGCAGGCTCACGTGCAAAACCCGGTTGCTGCCATGGGACGGGGGTGAGCTCCCGTCACTTGCTCCAGCTCCTGCCAACCCAGCAATTTGAAAGCAGACAACCGCGAGTAGATAAATGGGTACCACTTTGGTGGGCAAATTAATGGGGACATGAAAGGAGACCAACTGGGAGCCCTCCAGGCAACGGTGATGTCATCGTTGAAATCCTTTCGACACGGAAGTGTGGCACTCCCAACATGACAGTAGTAGTAGTAGTAGTAGTAGTTGTTTCTTGAAATGCCAATAATCCAGAGAAATTATCTTCTACCATTTCTGGAGGCACTTGGTGCTAGACCTCCTTGTCTGGAAGCACTGGAAGTTCCTTATATCAGTGGAAAACTGATAAATCTGTCTTCCCAAGCAAACAATCCCTGTGCATTAACTCCTTCCCTAACTCCATCCACCCAAGATGAGCAAGATGCCATCATGAACCTTCTGAGACCCACCAAAGAGACCTCTCTCTTCCGCCTACTTTATTAGGTCAACGAAGTAGAAAGCTTCTGTTCTCCATATATTCCAGTGGTGGCGAACCTATGGCACGGGTGCCCTCTTTGTGGGCACGCGCACCGTCTCCCCAGTCCTAGGCCTTCAGCTGGGTTTTATAAAACCTTTTCACTTTAGGCCTCCGCCCGCCGTGTGCAAAAAAAAAAAAGGTTCAATCAATCAGTCAATTTCAACTTCTCGCAGGGAAAAAGAGATCTTGCAAAGTTGGAATTGATTGAACTTTTTAGTCCCACGCAGTCTGCCATTACCACCGCAGCCACGCCCACCCAATGGGCCACACCCAGCCAATGGGCCACACCCAGCCAATGGGCCACACCCACCCGGCACCCAACAATGCATAAGTGGGTTTGGAGTTGCAGTTTGGGCACTCGGTCTCTAAAAGGTTCGCCATCACTGATACACTCATTTCTACCCAAAAAAGAAGAAAAAAAGTTGGCTTCCACCTTCGGCAGTGGCACATGGGGCTCCTTAGAGCTGCCGCCGAGTTGGATGGTCTTAAGAGAGGTCAGTTACCAAACCACCCGCCGAATCCAGCTGGAAAACGGGAGACCGCAAACACTGTTGATATATGCTTAGAACTTTATTAGAGGAGGGTTTGGGCTAAAAAATAAATGAAATTTCTGAAACCTTCATTAGGGCGAGGGGGGAGTTCTCTGCCATCCACACCCTTCAGTCTTAGGGCCCCTCTCAAGAGGGAGGAAGAACGTGGCCATGGAAGGCGGGAGGGCGCCCGGGTCAAGGAAAGGGAGCTCCGAATCGGCAGACACCATTTGGGGAGAAGCTGACAGTCCAAGCTCTGGCTACCGAAAACAAAAACTGGAAGATGGGAGTGAAGGGAGACAAATAACCCTTAAGCTTATTTCTTAATTGTCCCAAGAAAAGTGCAAACGTTGCAATTTATAAGTAGGCTGCCCGCCCACGACTTCGGCCTTCCGTCTGGCAGGCAGGAATGGGGCCAAACGAACCGGGGCCCTTCGGAAAAAGCCAAAATTATTATTATTATTTAAAAAACAACAACAAGGAACAGGAAAGAACTCCATCCTTCTTGAGTCTCTGACTGCTTGCCTGAGCGAAGTATTATTTTTTTAAAGTCAGAAAAGGCTTCCAGGGTCCGAGATAGATATGCGTGTATGTATATGTTTTAAAAAGTGGCACACTCCTGTCCTTTGGACAATCACTAAAATCCTCCAAACTATACAAAAAGAGAGAGAGAAGCTGCCAGAGGGCCTGAGAGGGGGAGCTGAATCTGCTTAGTACCCCCCCTGTCAGGGAGAAAATAAAAAGAGTCATCGGAAACATGCAGGAACCCCCGTTAGGCTCTACTACATTTACAAATACATACATAAATATTTTACATAAAACAGCAAATCAGGAAGCGTCACAAAGAAGGGGAGTGGCTGCCAATTCTTCCCACGGGGTGTCTGAGCGGAGCTCTCCCAGGGCGCATCTTCCCTCCAGTCCACGGTCTCCGGTGGAGGGTGGGAGCCTGAGTTAACCCAGACTGTCTCCCTTCCTTTCCTCTGCGCCAGAGCTTAGTTCGTCCAGTATGGAGACGTCCCATAGGTGTTTTTTGTAGCCTGAGACTTCTGCTGCAGGACGGTTGGCTGGTTGCGCTGGACAGATCCGCCCTTCAGAGAAACAGAGGGAAAGGTTTTATGTATTATTTATATAAGGGAGCACTCATCTCCTCTGGGCGGTTTATAAATCAAATATTCAAAAAAAAAAAAACAACTTCCAGTGTTGGAGCATTCACCGCTTCTGGAGGCAGGTTGTTCCACTGGTTAATTGTTCTAACTGTCAGGAAGTTTCTCCTTAGTTCTAGGTTGCTTCTCTCCTTGATTAGTTTCCATCCGTTGCTTCTTGTTCTGCCTTCAGGCGCTTTGGAAAATAGCTTGACTCCCTCTTCTTTGGGGCAGCCCCTGAGATACTGGAACGCTGCTATCGTGTCCCCCCTTGTCCTTCTTTTCGTTAGACTAAAGTAGACATACCCAATTCCAGCAACCATTCCTTATATGTTTTAGCCTCCAGTCCCCTGATCATCTTTGTTGCTCTTCTCTGCACTCTTTCTAGAGTCAACATTTTTTTTACATCGTGGTGACCAAAACTGGATGCAGGATTCCAAGTGTGGTCTTACCAAGGCAATGGATGGAAACTAACCAAGGAGAGAAGCAACCTGGAACTAAGGAGAAACTTCCTGACAGTGAGAACAATTAACCAGTGGAACAATCTGCCTCCAGAAGCGGTGAATGCTCCAACACTGGAAGTTTTTAAGAAGAGACTGGACAGCCCTTTGTCTGAAATGGTATAAGGTTTCCTGCCTGAGCAGGGGGTTGGACTAGATGACCTCCAAGGTCCCTTCCAACTTTATTATTATTATTATTAAGTGTATTGCAGTAGTACAAAGCCAGAACTGCCAATCACCGTGCCAACTCTTCCCTCCCTTAGCTGTTCTCTCATCGCCCATTCCATGTAGCCAATCAGGTTCAGGCAAGTTGTTTCCATAAGGGTCAGTCCAAGCTGGTATGCAGCCCCTTCCTTCTTCCAGCTGGGTGACCTTGAGGCAGCATCTCGAGGAGATACAGAACTTACTTTCGCTTCCCCGAGCACTCCCCCCTTCATCCCCCTTCCCCACAGTTCAGGGCAGTCTGTCCCACAGAGCAGCGAAAACACAAGCAAGCTAGAGGTGGCAGCAGACATCGGTCTCAAATCCTTTAATTCGATCCCTTTATCTTCCTGTGTTGAAATCACCCCTTTGACCAGAAAGAAAACCAGGGTTAGAAAACTCTCCGACCACAGGCAACCAAGAGGGATCCAGCCACTCACCTGCCCGTCCTGTTGAAGATGATGGTGCAGCACCTGGGAATGTGGTTGTTGGTGCGCAGGCAAGATATGGAGGAAGGGCGCCGGAGCGTAGCCAGGAGCGGCCCCCGGGTTCAGAGGCCCCGTGGAACCCAGGGCGGAGGGCAGGTTGAACGGGGGCGGGGTCCCAGCGTGGAATCCCTGCTTGTCAAAAATCTGGAAGAAGAAGAAGGAACTGGAGTGAAAATTGAATCGTGCGCCCTTTCAAAAGCCAGAGGTTCGTGCAACTGGGATGGAGTCGAGGTAGTCTTCTGTCCATCTGAAGGCCAGACAGGGGATGAAGAGCGGGACAATTTTTCTCCCAAGGAAACCCACCCAAGAAGGTCCCTGATGCCGGCTTTGTTCTCAGTTTGGGCTGGGTGGAAAAAAGCCCAACTAGGATGTTGGTTACAGTTTTACCTGATTGACTGATTTCAAGGCTTTGTGGTCCCTGCCGCTTGCTGGGTATTTATATGAATATTTAGACATATATTTATATTGATACGTAAGTTGAGCTAGTCCTCAACTTATAACTGTTCGTTTAGTGACCTTGGAAGATGTAACTGCACTGAAAAAAGCGACTTATGGCCGTTTTACACCTTTATGACAGTTGCAGCCTTCCCGGGATCACGTGATCAGAATTCAGAGGCTTGGCAACTGGCCCAGATTTATGACGGTTGCTGTGTCCCGGGGTCACGTGATCCCCTTTGATCATCTCCTGGCAAGCAAAGTCAATGGGGGAGCCAGATTGAGTTACGTATTTAATAACTGCCGATTCCACTTAACAACTGTGGTAAAGGTTATAAAACGAAGCAAAACTTGGCGGTGTCGCTTAGCAACAGACGTTTTGAGCTCAATTACAGTTGTAAGTCGAGGACTTACAACTGTAAGTCCTCGACTTATAGTTGTAAGTCGAGGACTTACAACTATAACAGATGTTATAGAAGCAGTGGAGTATTAATTCCTGCAGGCTGAAGAGAAGGGCTACTCATGGCCCCATCGGAGCCCGGTTCTGAGGGGGAGGGGGAGGAGGAGGAAGAGGAGGAGGGAGGAGGAGGAGGAGTTGGAACTGGGACCATCCAACACTGTTGGCCCGTCTCCCTTGCCCTGTTTGGAGAGGCTGGGGGCTGAGGACGATGCTGACCCAGGCCCCTCAGGCATTGGGGGAAGTGGTCCACCGGATGGAGAGCTGCTACCCTCGCTGACATGGGGGAGGATCAGCTGCAGGCAGGCAGTGGTGCTGAGAGGCAGCAGATCCCCCCCCCTGTGATGAGGAGCAGCTGCCTCCCCCACGTGATCTGAGGGCACGGAGAGTGGAGGCAAGTTCAAAGAAGGTCTGCAAGGCTGCTGGAGAGGAGGCCATCCAGCCCCTCCTCACAAGGAAGACCTGGCGTGGGTTGACTTAAGGAGAAGAGCGGGGAGTTTGTCTCTGTCAGGAGCAATTGTTTCCTTGCAATAGTGGTGAATATCTGTAGCTCGGATGGGTCTTGCGAAAGAACAAAGTGGAACAACGACTGATGACCTTCTTTTACCGGTCCACTATAGAAAGCGTCCTCTCATACTGTATTATGGCAGGGCTTTTCAACCTTTTCACCCATTGTACCACTTTTAGGATATGGCAACATCCGAGTACCACCAGTCGCCTAGCAAGGTGTCAAAAACTTGATGACCAAAAAAAGGAAAAAAGTGATGAAGTACAGGTAGTCCTCGACTTACAACAGTTCGCTTAGTGACTGTTCGGTTACAATGGCACTGAAAAAAGTGCCCCCCAAGCCACAGCCGAGCAAGACACCTGCCTGCCCACCCGGCGGTGCTCTTCCTCCTGTCCGAGGTTTTCATTGTTGTGAGCATTTCTGTTGAGGATTGGCAGTGGAGGTGGGGTGAGGGGGGTGTTTGGTTTTTATTCCCCCCCCATCTGCTGGGTGGTTGCAGCAGGTTTTGGTCACTTCACATGACCCTGGGACACTGTGACCGTCATAAATATGAATCGGTTGCCAAGCATCTGAATGTAAATCACAAGACCCTGGAGATGTTGCAACATTCCAGCTGATCGGCGCTTCTTCTGGGCTCAGCAGAAGCGCCAGGATCAGTGCTGCTTTCCAGCTGATTGGTACTTCTTCAGTTCTCAGCAGAAGCACCAGGATCAGCGCCGAGCTCCAGCTGGAGCCTGGTGCTGATCCTGGCACTTCCACTGAGCCCTGACAGCCCCGAAGAAGCACCGATCAGCTGGAAAGCGGCACTGATCCTGGCGCTTCCGCTGAGCCCTGACAGCCCTGCAGCTCCAGCCGTCTCTCGCTCAGGCTTGTGCGGTACTGCCACCAGTTCAGCTCATTCTCCTCCCCCGCTACCACTTTTCTAGGATGGTCGCGTACCTCCTGCCAGGTGCCAATGCACCACAGGTGGTACCCGTACCACTGGTTGAAAAGCCCTGGTTTAGGGGATGTCAGTGTCATTGCTTTGGCTTACACTCCCCCGGCCTTGGAAAAACTCAGCCTTGACTTGGGTTTCTGCCCGTGCCTTGCGCCTTGCCCTGTGGATTGTCTTGGCCTCATAGACTTGCCCTCTGCACCTTGAACCCAGACCTTGCCCCATGAGCTTGCACCTTGTCTTTGGACTCTGCCTTGGCAAATTGGTCTGTTGCCTACTAGCTTTAGTTTGTGGGACTGTGGGTGGCTGCCTTCAGGGTAGTGTGGGGTGGAGCCTTATCGGGTGTTGTAGGGCTGTTTGTGGTGGAATTTAACAAGCAATAAAAGATTCTACATTTCCAGGGCAGGGCAGGACAGATCACCACCTGGTTCTTGGCTTACAAACCCTTTCAGAGAGTGAGATGAGATGTTAAAATGCCACCAGGACAGGGTGTGGTCCAAAACATGAAGATGGTGACTGCAAGGGTGCAAATAAAATGCAGGTGGAGCTTCAGTCATGTGGCTCTGTAGCTGCCATCTTGGATGTTTTGGACCACAGTCTCCTTGGGACCACCCCTGAGGCTGAAGCCGAACACGAAATCAATCCGGACCCAAAGGTTCTGAACTCACCTGACCTTTGTTGTAGACAGAGCCACTAATGTCAGGCACACCTGTGTTACTTGAGGTCACAGAAACACCTGGGGACAAAGTGTGAGAGACAGAGAGTTGTGTCAGCTACACAAACGGCCAATGGGCAAGAACACTTCCTGTGTGGAAATGTAAACATAACATAGGCACGTACTATCACATTTGGTGGACATGTGGCAAGGCTAAGGCCTATTGGAGAAAGATACATATGTGGTTAGAAAAAATATTGGGTGAACAAGTGGAATTTAAACCTGAACTTTTTTTTTACTAGGTATTATGCCTGAAAAGACTAATAAGCAGAAATTATATTTAATCTTACACCTCACCACAGCAGCGAGAATAATTTTCGCACAATGCTGGAAGAATGAAGGATTGCCATCATGAGAAGAAATAATCAGGAAAACATTGGAATGTGCAGAGATGGACAGATTAACTATGAGGTTGAAAGATAAAGAAGATACAGACTATTATCAAACTTGGGACTTATTTTATTGTTGGCGAGAGGAAAGAATGAAGGATTAGGAATTGAACATGTATTAGCATAGCTAATTCCAGACAACCTGTTGATTGGAAAAATTAACATTATGTTAAAAACCCAATAAAATCTTTATTAAAAAAAAAAGAACACTTCCTATGACTGCACAACTTCAAAGACTCCATAGTCCTCTTCCCTCTCCATGCAAAACCCTGTTCCTTCTAGCACTGATGAGGTTACCTAGTTGGGTCATAAAACGTCTGCAAGAAAACCGCCAAGCTCGGAGAGCGCCATGGACCCCACAGTCCAATCCTGAGCTAGGAATCTTCTCCTCTGTTAGAAAAAGAGCGGCCCCCAATTACCTTTCCCTGCTCCACTGCCAGATGACTTGTTTTGTGCTTGGGAGGCGGCAGCATAGGGCCCTTTGCTGTAGTCTCCAGCCGCCGTCCCCTGGCTGAGGTCATCGTAACCTGAGGGGAGGAAGGAGAGAGACTATTTTCATGGCCACTGTCCCAATCGCAATTACGCACCAAGCAGAGCAGCCAGGAAGGGTGGGAGTGTCCAAAATTAGCATTCCTTGGGTATAAATGATCATAGCTATTATTATTATTATTATTATCTTTATACCCATCTCGAAAACTAAGCATGGAAGAAAGTAAACGAATGCCAACTAACTGAAAAAAAAATCACAAAAAGGGCCTAAGCAAATCTAGGTAGTTCGACACTAAAGGCACGCGTGGGGATCTCAAATGAGTATTTGCACTAAAGAGAGTAAATAAGCTGGACCCTAGTTTTGTACCGTCAATTGCAAGGTCACCTGAGTGGTGGCAAAGGGGTGTGGAGCCTTCTTGGCTACAGGATGTTTCCTGCCCTGGGTCCCTCCCCTGTGGAAGACGGGCGCAGGCTGCTGGGGACGAGTCTGTGTCGTCTCCCTCTCAAACCGAAGCGCAAATGGTTCCTGTAATCTGCGGGAGTGTGAACGGATTTCCAGAAACCACTGTCTTCCACAGTGAAGGGAGCCAGGGCAGAAAACATCCTGCAGCCAACCAACAAGGCTCCAAGCCCATTTGCACCGCGCAGGTGTCCTTGAGGAGACAGGTAAAACCTCCAAATGGCCTCAACGCCTCTCTAAAAGAGCACAAATGACCAGCTGTCTGCAAGGAGTGTCAATCCTTCCATTCCCCACCATCCAAGTCAGAGCTGAAGAAGCTTCTTGGATGAGAAACGAAATGTTTTCAAAGAAAAACAAGAAAGTCCAGTTGTCTCCTGAAAAAAGCATCTTTGGGTTTGCAACGGTCTTTCAGCCCTGCCCAAATAGGGAGACATGCCCCCCGTCCCCGGGGTGCCTGCCACCGCCTGGCAGAGTCCTCACCTGCTCCATAACCATGCTGGCCGTAGCTGCCGGCCTGCTGGAAGGGCGTGGAGGCGGCGTTCAAGGCCACGCTGTGCTGCTTGGCCGAGGCTGGAGGGACCTGAGGAAGGTAAAGAGAGAAAGGTCAGCACTTGAGATATGTGTACAGAGATTCTCCTGGTTGCCCCAAAGGTGCTTTTTTCCCCAAAAGGCAACTGGACTTGCTTAACGTGATGACCCAGGGCCCCGAACGGAGGCAAAGCAATTAGCTGGTCAGAGCAATTGTCTCTGTAAGCACTGCCAACGGTCACCCAACAGCCCCCCACATATGCTGGCACAAGTTCAATAAAACAGTCAACGAAGTTAAACAGTTCTTTAAAGTAAAACAGATACAAAGTATGATCTTTTCCACGCCCAGCTTGCCTGTAACTTGCAAACTGCAAAACTGAGGACAGCAAGGAGAACTCAGCAGGAAACAAACTTGATCCAAAATACAAAGAGTCCAGGTACAAGAGTTCACATCACAAGAGTTCACGTTTCTTCCCGGCAAATGCCCCACCCCACAGCGTCTCCTTAAATCCTACTCCCCAGGTGTGCTTTGTGGCGTGACACCGAGCAAGTGAGCCTGCCTCCATTGTTCCCTCCTCCTCTCTGCTCTCCTTGCTCTGGGATCTGGTGGGGAGGGGCCTTGTTCCTCGCCTGAGCTCTGCCTTCCCTGTTCCAAACTTGAAGGGCCCTGGCCTGCTTCAGCCTGTTCCTCCCCACAGTCCTCCGAAGCCACAGACACCCCCTCCTGGGCCTCAACAGGGAACTCCATGTCCTCCTCAGAGTCAGGCTCGGACGGAGGCATGACACTTGGGTTTTCTTTTCCCTTTGAAAACGTTTCCGTTTCTCATCCAAGAAGCTTCTCCAGTTCTTCAAAGCAAGTGAAGAAGTATGAAGAAACTTCTTGGATGAGAAGCATTAATATCTGCAAGGAAAAAAACCCCAAGAAAGTCCAGCACCTTTGGATCAGCATTTGAAGGACACAATCGTGTGTATCTATCTGCCTATGTGTGTGTGTGTCACTGGGAGCTCCTCTCGCAAGATACACAGCTAAGAAGCTAATGATGGGAGACACCACAAAAACGGCCCGTCGAGTACAAGCAGTCCTCGACTGACAATACAATTCAGCTCAACATTTCCGTTGCTAAACAAGACCGTTGCCGAGTCGCTTTTGCCCCATTTTACGACCTTCCTTGCCACAGTTGTTAAGTGAACCACTGTGGTTATTAAGTTAATGAAATGTTAAGTGACATTTATCTCAGGGTTGAATGTCAAGTCTTTGGGGCTGTCTGGGCTTGCAGGCATTTCGTGACACAACTAGGTAATATCATCAGTGCTAAGAGTGGCGTGGCTCCCTTGTTTGGTAATAAAATGTCTGCAAGAAAAACAACCAAGCTTAGACAACCCCGAGAACCCCACAGTCACCCCATCCTCCCCTTCTCTTCCACTCTGCAAACCCACTCCCGTCTAGCTCTGATGATGTTCTCCAGTTGGGTCATGAAACATCTGCAAGAAAAACAACCAAGCTCAGAGAATACCAAGAACCCCACAGTCCCCCTCCTCTTCTTTTCCTCCTCCTCCTCCCTGCAAACCCCGCTCCCTTCTAGCACTGATGATGTTCCCTAGCTGGGTAATGAAACACCTGCAAGAAAACAATCAAATTCAGAAAGCACCTGTTCTATCCCAGCCTACAATATGGCTGTCCTTGTTAAAGGCACAAGGACCAAACCCCTGTTGAGAAAATAGGCTGGAGACTCAAAACAAAACAAACCCCTTTTAATGTGGATAACAAACCTGCCAAATAGTCCAGAAACAAAAGCAGCAAAGCTCAATCCAAATGGAGGAAATTGTCCACGCAAAACACAATGCAAAACAGAAAAGTAGTCACCGGCAATACTAACAGAACATGATCCCATGAAGTACTTTGCAACGGTTGCCTTCAGCAACCAGCACCACCCACACCTTCCCTTTTTATAAAGCAGTCCCAAGGCGTTGCCTCTCAGTGCCTTCTCCTCCTCCCCTGGAGTTGTCGTATTGACTGCTGCTGATCTGCTCTCGCTAATTGCCGGCGTCTACGAGCATCAATCATCATGTCCATCAGGTGTGAGTCCTCCAAGTCTGACTCATTCTCCCCACACAGCTGAGCTTCATCCGTAATACGACTGGAGGGTCCAGGCTCTTCATCAGACCGTGAGTCTTGTAATTCATCAGAGCCTCCCTCTGACCCTGATGGCCCTTCAAATGCCTCCTCCACCTCCTCCTCAGATTCCCCAGACTCAGCTGTTGGGAACACAGGCTGGCACGGAATCACGACAGCACCCAGGACCCTACAGCCTCCTCCTCCTCCCTGCAAACCCACTCCCTTCTGATGATGTTCTCCATGAACATCATGGAACATCTGCAAGAAAAACAACCAAGCTCAGAGAATACCAAGAACCACGCAGTCCTTTTCCTCCTCCTCCCTGCAAACCCCACTCCCTTCTAGCACTGAAGATGTTCCCTAGCTGGGTAATGAAACATCTGCAAGAAAACAATCAAATTCAGAAAGCACCCAGGAACCTACAGCCCCCTCCTCCTCCTCTCTGCAAACCCACTCCCTTCTAACTCTGATGATGTTCCCTAGTGCTGTGATGAAACATCTGCAAGGAAACAACCAAGCTCAGAGCACACCAAAGACCCCTCAGATGCAACCTTTGTGGGAGAATCCCAGCCGATGCCCAACAACAGTTGGGAACCTGAAGACTTACAAACATGGTGGGGCCATACTGGAAAGCACTGGGAACTCCTGGCATCCCGGCGTAATATGGCAAGCCGGTGTAGCTGTACCCAGGTGGCAACGTGTTGAGGAAGGGCTGTTGAGCCGTGTGGTGGGCTTGCGTCTGGTTCTGCTGAGCCTGGGCAAGGGTGGTTACGGGCGCGGGTGAAGCTGAATCTCCACGGCCAAATTTTGTGATATCACCTAGACGGGAAGAAGGAAGAAACACAAAAGTGGGTCAGGATGTTAAGACTATGGCGATTCCTCTTTGGAATGATTGAACAGGTTGATTTGTGAGACACAATCTTGTTTAAACGGACTATTAAACTCTACTGTTTTCATTACTGGACCCACCAGGTGCCTTCTGGTGGCTGGTTGGTCCTACCTGTGGGACTGTCCAAAGAAACTTGTCCCCATCTATCTCAGTTGCCCAATGTTGGTTCCTGCCTACCCTTCTGAGGCTCTATACCAGGGGTGTGCAATTTTAAGACTTGTGGACTTCAACTCCCAGAAATCCTCAGCCCGCCATGCTGTTTCAAGTCTTCCACCAGTACACCAAACCGCTTTTTCACAGTTCTGTGCTTTGTGTTATCGATCACATCTGTAAGCATTTAGAACAGGGGTCTCCAAACTTAGCAACTTTTAAGACCTATAGCCTTTAGTTCCCAGAATTCCCCAGCCAACCATGCTGGGAGTTGAAGTCCACAAGTCCACAAGTTCACGAAGGTTGGACACCCCTGCTCTGCACTCTGGAAGGTTCAACAGAAAGTGTGTGTAGAACAAAACCACAAGAGAAGTTAAGATAGTCCAGATGATGGAAAACCTTGTGTTTTCTAGAAATCTGCTGGTCAAGGTGCATGGATTACATGTGAGATGTAATGTAAAAGGAGATACACGCCATTCATTCCGAGTGAGTGAAGAGAATACGAAATAGCATCCCAATTTGTTCCTAATTCACACCCTGATCTGGACATCCTTCCACTTTTACAGTAACAGTCTCGGTGAGGATGAGGTTTCTCTCCAGGGGAGCAAGAGCCCTGGAGATGACATCAATATGACCCTGAAGTTTTTGGTCTTCTTGGGGTTGATGGAAAAGGCACAGGAAGGAATGGGCTTCCACCATGGTAGCCAGCGCAATGCAACAGTCAAGCAACAGACAGCCTGACATGGACACCGGAGATCCGCAGCCACACCTGTACATTGCCTCACCTGAGTAAGGGTTGTTAGCAAGGGCTCCGTCTCTGCTGGTCAGGTTCGCAGGAGCAGGGAATGTGATTCCATAGTAATCCTACAAACAGGAAAAGCAACAGAATAATGTACAGGTAGTCCTCAACTTATGACTACAACGGAGTCCAAAGTTTCTGTTGTTAAGCAAGGCAACAGCAACAGCACTTATGTACTGCTTTACAGTCCTCTCTGAGCGGTTTACAGAGTCAGCCTCTTGTCCCCAACAATCTGGGTCCTCATTTTACCGACCTCGGAAGGATGGGAGGCTGAGTCAACCTTGAGCCCCGTCAAGATCGAACTCCTGGCAGTCAGAAGAATTAGCCTACAATACTGCATTCTAACCACTGCATGGTTTTCCCAGTTGCAATGTATGGCTGTGAAAGTTGGACCATAAGAAAGGCTGAGCGACAAAGAATTGAGGCCTTTGAACTATTGTGCTGGAGAAGACTCCTGAGAGCCCCCTGGACTGCAAGGTGTTCAAACCAGTCAGTCCTAGAAGAGATCAACCCCGACTGCTCTTTAGAAGGCCAGATCCTGAAGTTGAAACTCAAATACTTTGGCCACCTAATGAGAAGGAAGGACTCACTGGAGAAGAGCCTAATGCTGGGGAAGATGGAGGGCAAGAGAAGAAGGGGACGACAGAGAATGAGGTGGCTGGAAGGAGTCACTGAAGCAGTAGGCGTGAACTTAAATGGACTCCAAAAGATGGTAGAGGACAGGAAGGCCTGGAGGAACGTTGTCCATGGGGTCGCGATGGGTCGGACACGACTTCGCAATTAACAACAACAAATTTATTTATCTGTCTGCCTGCCTACCTACCTACCTGGCTACCTTATCTATCGATTTATTTATCTGTCTGTCTGTCTGTCTGTCTGTCTGTCTGTCTGTCTGTCTGTCTATCTCAATAACACTTATATACCACTTCATAGGGTCTTTTACAGCCCTCTCTAAGCAGTTTACAGAGTCAGCCTAGAGTCCCCAACAATCTGGGTCCACATTTTACCAACTTCGGAGGCATGGAAGTCGGAGTCAACCTTGAGCCAGTCAGGGTCAAACTCTTAAGTGAATTATGTTAATTTTATGACCTTTTTGCCCAGCAGTTAAGCAAATCACTCCAATTGTTAAATGAATTGTGTGGTCATTAAGCAAACCTGGCTTCCCCCATTGCTTTTATTTGTCAGAAGCAGTCATAAGCCAGTTGCCAAGTGCCCGAATTCTGTTGATGTGACCATGGGGATGCTGCAACGGTCGTCAGTCACATTTTTCAGTACTGTCATAACTTTGAACGGTCACTAAGGAGAATGGTTGTAAGTTGAGCATTATTTCTAAAACCAGATTACAGCCTAGACCAGGGGCAGGCAACCTTGGCTCTTTTATGACTCGTGGACTTCAACTCCCAGAATTCCTGAGCCAGCATGGCTCAGCTTGGAACCTCTCCCTTTCCCCTCAGCATGGCTGGCTCAGGAATTCTGGGAGTTGAAGTCCACGAGTCATAAAAGAGCCAAGGTTGCCTACCTCTGGCCTAGACTACAGGTAGTCTTTGACTTACGACCGGTCACTTAGCAACTGTTCAAAGTTCTGACGGACTTAAACGCAAGAAGCGTCAAGGCAAATTTAAGGAAGATTTTTTTGCTGTGAATCAACTTATCCTAAACAGCAAAAATTTAAAATCACTATATTTATCTTGTTAAAATCTATATTGATTTCTTTTTAAAAAGAAAAGATTTACAATGGATTGTGGGTTCACTCAGGTGAGGCTGGAATATGAGAAAACCAAGCCCATTTTTTTAAGCTGGAGCCTCCTGCAGCTCCAGAAGCTCTTATAGCAAAGAAATAGGAAGAATAACAGAATAACAGAGTTGGAAGGGACCTTGGAGGTCTTCTAGTCTAACCCCCTGCTTGAGCAGGAGCTCCTAAAACATTCCAGACAAAGGGTTGCCCAATCTTTTCTTAAAAACCTCCACTATTGGAGCACCCACAGCTTCTGGAGGGAAGTTTCAATTTGGGTCTCTAATCATCTTCCACCTGTTACTTCTGGTCCAGAACAGAATACAGAATTACAGAGTTGGAAGGGACCTTGGAGATCTTCTAGTCTAACCCCCTGCTCGAGCAGGAGACCCTATACCATTCCAGACAAATGGGTGTCCAATCTCTTCTAGAGGACCTCCAGTATTGGAGCACCCACAACTTCTGGAGCCAAGCTGTTCCACTGATTGATTGATTGTCAGGAAATTTCTCCTTAGTTGTTAAGTTGGTTCTAGGACTTCTAAGTTGATTGGATCAAAAATGAAGAATATCACAGTGTGCCATTAAATAAATATTTATAGACAACAATGACACCAAGGCTGACCAAGCTGAGGTGATCTTCGAGGGGAAATTGCTAGGGGTTCCCCATTTTTTTTATGAGGTGGGAGAATATTTTGGGTTATTTTAAATATTTTATGGAACAGTCTTCACTAGAGGTGGACCTTGATCACCCATGATTGTACCGAACTGACTGAAACTTGAACTGTTTCATGGGGCCTTTGAGAATTCAACGCCTTTAAAGTTTTGCAGTATAAGCAGTCCTCGACTTACAACATTATCATTTAGTGACCGAAGTGACAATGGCACTGAAAAAAGTGACTTATGACCAGTTTTCACGCTTACGACCATTTCAGCAGCTCCGTGGGCATGTGATCAAAATTCAGATGCTTGGGAGAACTGACTCTTATTTATGACGGTTGCAGGGTCCTGTGTTACGTGATCCCCTTTTGTGACCTTCTGACAAGCAAAGTCAATGGGGAGGCCCGATTCACTTTACAACCATGTTACTAATTTAACACCTGCAGTGATTCACTTAACAACTGTGGGCAGAAAGGTCATACAATGGGGCGAAAGTCACTTAACAAATGTGAATTTGGGCTCAATTGTAATCGTTAAGTCGAGGATTGCCGGTATATTTATATTGTTTATTATTACCGATTTTCTTAAGTATAGACTACGTCAGGGGTAGGCAACCTTGGCTCTTTTATGACTCGTGGACTTCAACTCCCAGAATTCCTGAGTCAGCATAGCTGAAGTCCATGAGTCATAAAAGAGCCGAGGTTGCCTACCCCTGGTCAATGTTATATGAAAAACATCTGGAGTCCAGCCAGTTTTGAGTGGGGGCAACCTAAAGAATGGGCTCAAATTACAGCTTTGGATGTAGGAAGCAGTTTAGGTCAGGACTAAGCTGTAATATTTCAGAGAATCACGATTGTGTTTGTGTTCCAGGGTATATTTCAAATTCTTCCTTGGCATGCCAACTTCTTCTCCTGCTTTGTTTTCACGTTCTTCGAAAGAGTGCCCGAGTAAGAATCAGGCATGAATTTGCACAAATCTTCCCTACATCACATTCAGTTGTTACTGTATGAAAACCTCTGAAGGAGATTGAGTCACTACTTCCTTGTCCATATTTGGAAGAGTCTTTTTTTTTTTTCCCTACCGCTTTCAGTTTCGGGTCTGTTTTGTTTTCAGTCTCTGAGCTTGACTCTTAATTCCAAGGTTGGAATTTCCAAAAAAGAAAAAAGAAAAAAAAAAGGCTCCAGGACTAAGCAGATAGAAATGCCCAGGATTTAACGCTGCCAAGTACTTAATAAACAATGACTCGCTTGGCAGCGTTCACAATTAATTTTAAAAAGGAAGCATTGAACCGAGGGGGGAATAAAAGGAAGCGTATTGGAAATGAATCAAGGAAGTCCAGTGTTAACAGAATAACAGAGTTAAAAGGGACCTTGGAGGTCTTCTAATCCAACTCCCTGCTCAGATAGGAAACCCTATACCAGGGGTAGACAACCTTGGCTCTTTTATGGCTCATGGACTTCAACTCCCAGAATCCCTGAGTCAGCATGGCTCAGCATGGAAACCTCTCCATTTCTCCTCAGCATAGCTGGCTCAGGAATTCTGGGAGTTGAAGTCCACAAGTCATAAAAGAGCCAAGGTTGCCTACCCCTGGCCTAGGAGGCTCGCCGCTTTGAACAGGAGGACTTAGGACAGGAGGACTTAGCACAAGGGTAGGCAACCTTGGCTCTTTTATGACTCGTGGACTTCAACTCCCAGAATTCCTGAGCCAGCCATGCTGAGGGGAAAGGGAGAGGGTTCCAAGCTGAGCCATGCTGGCTCAGGAATTCTGGGAGTTGAAGTCCACGAGTCCTAAAAGAGCCTACCCCTGGTCTAAGAGGCTTACCGCTTAGAACAGGAGGACTTAGGACAGGGGTAGGCAACCTTGGCTCTTTTATGACTCGTGGACTTCAACTCCCAGAATTCCTGAGCCAGCCTGGCTCAGCATGGAAACCTCTCCATTTCTCCTCAGCACGGCTGGCTCAGGAATTCTGGGAGTTGAAGTCCACGAGTCATAAAAGAGCCAAGGTTGCCTACCCCTGCCCTATACTCATGCCATATGTTAATACTTCTATGTGATATTAGTTATCGTAAGAGGTCAAAACTTTTACTGAAAGTAAATGATCAATCTATAAAGTCAAGCTCCAGATTAGGCAATTTTGCTTGTTTTTTCCCTCTGGTGGTATTTATTATTTGCTTGGTTGCACGATCAGCCAGCTGTTTATAGACTGGAACTGGCACTTGAGTCCTTTCCAAGGATATGGGATAGACAGGAGTTGTTTGGTGCTGTTCAAAGTATCTTCAATTTTCCTGTTTTAGCCATTGCCAAGGCTTCTTGTTATCTGCTCGGCTTAATTTCTTTCTTTCTTTCTTTTTTTAACAATTTTATTGAGGTCTGGAAAAGGTCTCTTGTGCCAGAGCAAGTGGGAGGGGGGGATTAATTGCATTGGAGCAAGATGGTTCCTCAATTAAAAGACGCTTGCTCATCACCCTGCCAACAAAAGTATGGATAGTCAAGGCCATGGTTTTCCCATGAATGAATGAATGAATTAATTAATTAATGAGCCAGACTCATTAATTAATCAATAACTTCAGTGATTCGCTTAACAACTGTGACAAAAAAGCTCATAAAATGGGGCACAATTCTTTGCTTAGCCACGGAAGTCAAGAACTGCCTCAACGTGTGCTTCTGCTGTTTGC